AAAATTCATTCCCTTCCGCTCTTAAATAATCACAATTGCATTTTAATAGATGTGAGCATTAGCTAGTGACTATACAACCCCTGTGCAGTCAGCTTGGATACAGCAAAGCTCATTCCCATATATATTTTCAGAAGTACTTTTCTTTTTTTTTGGCATTGATCCATCAAAAACTCGGTTTTACAAAACTGTTGTCACATAGCATTAAAAGGACGTTGCCCCATTGTTTAAAAACGTAAACACTTTTTAGCTAGTTGTTGCAGTCTATCTGTCAGATATCAAGTATCAAGGTGTCCCTGTCAAAAACTCCACGCCTTTGACACAGCCCTGATGGAGAGGTCCCCTGGGTGGTCTGTCATACAGTAAGCGAAACACAAACACGGGTTCCACGTGGGCTAGTTTTGTCAAACACAGCCACTATTCTAACTTAAAACTTAATCTCAACTGTGTACAACCTACTGGCCTCAGAGGAGGCGTCTGCACAGTTGCTGCCTCACAAACTCAGTCCTTAGGACATTCAGCTACTGGAATTTCCCTCACGTTTTGAAGCACACACACGGACAAGGATGTAGGATAGGGTACATTGATAAATAGAGAGTCATACTGAAAAAGAGATAAGTGTTTTTGTTTGTTTGTTTATTTGTTTTGTATTTTTGCTCTGTTTTGTTTGAGACAGGGTTTCTCTTTGTAGCCCTGGCTCTCTTGGAAATCACTCTATAGACCAGGTTGGCCCCAAACTCATAGAGATCAGCTTGCCTCTGCCTCCTGAGTGCCCGTGCTTCTCCTGCAGAGGGCTGGGGTTCAGTTTCTAACACCCAGGTGGCTCACAACAGCCTGTAATTACATCTCCAGGAGGATCTTATGGCCTCTCCTGGACTCACAAGGTACCCACACATGTGTGCACAGACATGTACATAGATACACGTACACATAAATAAATAAATCTTTTAAAAGAAAGTAGGAAACAGTGTATGTGTTTTTCCCAGCCCACGTTTTTTTTTTTTTTTTTTTTTTTTTTTTTTTTTTTTTTTGTGGCTTTCATTTCACATGCCATTAGACCATGAGACAATGCTACTGAAGCAACTCAAGACAGTCTGTGGCTGTTTCCAGACAGCTGAGTAACAGCCCGAGTATTAACATCTGTGAATGAGTCTTCATCCTCTTACCCCACATTAGTCTTTGAAGGATACAATCAGGGTAGAGTTAGAATGTCAAAAAAGGAGACCAGGCAGGTAATATGACAAACCAATGTTGGTCTTAAGTAAGCTGACTAGCTATTAATTCACAAAGCAGTCTGAAAAGATTTGTGACGAAGCTGACTCCTGTCTAGACAGAGAGGGGAGTGCAAAACACATTAGACAGACACAGCGCAGAAGTGACAAGAAAAACCTGTTCCAGTTGCACAAATGCATGGGGAAAGGAATCAACTATTTCTTTCTTTATCTAAATGTGTAATTCTAATGGGCTCATATCTAGATCCTAGGGAATTTCAACCTTATTTTTAGAGCCTTAAAGCATCTTATCCATGAATAATAAGGAGAGTGAAAAGGAAAACTGGATAAGAATGAGGGAGTTGATAGAGAATGCAAAAGGGAGGGAAGGAAGGATGGAGGATAGGGAGAGACAGAGATGAGAGCGATCAGGTACGAAGAGCTATGTGAGAGGAAGGGAAGAGGGTGTCATAAAGTCTGTTTAAATACTGTCCCAGATTTCAAAGGCTATTTATGTTTTAGCATTTGGAAAACATCACTGACTGGGTCCTATAAAAATTATCTCCTGTCTCAGATGTACTGTGGCCATGTGCATTTTTCTCTTTCTACTTAACAGTGATTAAGATACGGATATCAGAGAAGCAGGGCCCTACATTCAGTCTATGTAGATGAGTATACTAGTGGCTGGTTAGAAGTAGTAACCAATCAGGATATTCAAGGGAAGTAAGTAATTTGAATACACACACATAGACACACACACAAACTTTTACACACACAAGCTCCCTTGATATGGAACTTTCATGGTCAAGGCAGGGAAACATTTGGAAATTAGGAAATAAGTCACACTTCGTTTTATTAGGCATGCTCAACTTTTTTTGTTTAAATATGAATGTGTTTTAAAATAGGCTTGTAGTGTATATTCCATACAATTCACATAAGCAGTCACATGAATAGCCACGCTTTTGTTAATTTTTTTATTTGTTTAATAACTATGACCATGGGTCTTATTTAATACTGAATAATAACTGTAAATCTCCCAAGGTAGAATGTATTGATGGTCCATTGCAAAGATGAGAAGAACAACCTAGTAGCTGTGGCAAATATGTTGGTGGCAAAAGTACCAGGGAGAAGGAGAAGCTCGTCTTCTTTTTTAATAGTTCCTGACTACATTTTTTTTTCCTTATATTGACAAATTTTCTTGAAATATTGCTCTGCCAAGGTATACTGTTATTATGGTCAGGATAGGGGATTCTGTTGTCTTAAAATACTTTTAGATATAATTAAAGGGAAGAGGAAAATGAGAAAATTCAGCAAACATGGAGAGGAAAGTCTTATACACATTGCTAGGGTGTGGAGGCCTAGCGGAATGCCTTTTATGCCTTCAACTTTCAGACACGACATGGCTATTTAGCCAACAGGCATTTAAGTGATTTTCACAGGTCTGAAGCGTTCAGAACAACTTTTGTTAAGTAACTCATGATCAGACTTAGGTGTGTTAAAAAGACACAAGCTGTAACCGGAATACTAAGGCTGGCTATGGGTGGAGTGGGGAGGGGAGGGAGGCAGCAGTGGGAGCTGTTTCTGTTAGCCCTCATCATCCAAATTTACTTGTCCTCAGTGTATTCTGAGTGTTTTCTTTTACTTTTTTGATGGTGGTGTGTGTGTGTGTGTGTGTATGTGTGTGTGTTAGTGTATGTGTGTGTGAGTACATGAGTATGCATGTTTGTAGAGGTTGGCACTGGGCATGTTTCCTTGATTGCTCTCCACACTATTTATTTGTTTGTTTGTTTATATTTTAAAAGATTTATTTTATTGTATATGTATCAGTGCTTGGCCTGCATGTAAGTCACCATGTGTGTGGACTGCCCGTGGAGGCAAGGAGAGGGCCTTGTAACCACCAGAACTGAAGTTACAAATGGTTATGAGATACCATGTGGTTGCTAGGAGCCAAACCATGGTTCTGTGCAAGAGCAGCAAGTACTCTTGACCACTGAACCTTCTACCTTTAGTTTTTGAAATGGGCTTTCTTACTGAATGGAAACCTCATGGATTCAGTTTGGCTAGTGGACCAATGAGGTTCAGGAATCCATCTTTTTCTGCCCACCCCATCACTGGAGTTACAGCCACCATCCCGGCTTTTTTTTTCTATGCATTCAGGGGATTGGGTTTCAGGTCTTCACACTTATCTCCCAGCCTTCCATTGACTTTTCCCAATGCTCAAACACACATGTACACAAAACTAAATCATGCAATTGCAAGATAATACTTTGGAAACTGAGATAGCTAACTTATGATTTTATGGCTTTGATTACAGGAGACATCTGAGAAATTATCATCAGCCTCGGTAGACGAAGACAGTGGAGAGAGCTGCAGATGTGGTCCCAAGTACAAAGCTCAATACCAAAATAGGACTAAACTCATGCAAATTTTAGAAATTTTGGTCTACGATTTTAGTGTTATTTCTATTTAAACCATTGAGAAAGATAACTTGCCTGTGTTACACATAGTAACCCAGGGAAATATTCAGTTTGCCCTCTATAAAAACATGCCTACTCATTTATCATCTACTTACCTGCTACTGTCTGAAACAGTAAATGCGAACAATGCAACTTTACGACCTATGTGATTTCCATACGCTCTCCTACAAGCGATTTATTCTCAGACATTCCATACATTGGGATCTAGCATTATTCAATTCTATACAAAGACATATCACAAACATATCATAAAGTGGTCTGTTCCCACAGCCTGGAAAGTGACTGCAGTTTTTAATGTGGTAGCCCCCATAGCACTGAATGGGGTGGCATGCCCTAGTTGTAACTCAGAAGCTACTAGATCGATTCTAGTCATTCCCAAAGGAGGTTAAGAATCATCCTTTCAACTTCTGGTCCTCATAGGGGAGTGCTGTGCTTTTAATGACCTGGTACTCAAATGTGACAGGCTCAGGGGACAGAAAACAGTACTGTGTCCTGCTAACTGGGAACCCTCAAATTCCCAGGCAAGGGTCAGGGCAGGGCCATGGCTCCCAAGGCACATTTGGCAGGATCTGCTTGCTGCTGCAGCAGAAGCCTAAACAGCCGAAACAGGGAAATGACATATTTTTCTAACCTCTGTGAAGAAATAGTGGGGCTGTGTCTTTGCTGATGGGAAAAATACAAAAGAAAACAGTCTTGTGTGTGTAGGGTACGTACTATGAAATACCTGGACACATAGTATTTGGGTCCCTGGGGAGTCATAAATATACAAGGGGTCAAAGGCAGAGGAGCAGTCATCTCCCACACTCCTGGACCACAGAGCACTCGGGGGAGATCAGGTGACCTGGTAATGAAGAGAGATCCCAGGGCATGGTGACTTTTGTCAAGCTTGCAAAATAGTAAAAGTTTATGGCTCTAGGCAGGTGGACGGTGCCTGAGGGTTCACTGGGGCTCTCTCCCAGCACATTCTACGCTGTGGAGTCTTAGAGCAGGTTCTGGTCAGCAACAAATTTCTCTTGTCTGCTGAAATTTTAGAAAGTTTTTCTTTTGGATCATGAGTCTAAGTGTAAAACACTATAGTTGAAAAGGCCATAAGTCACCAAGCCCAGCTTTCTTGTCCAAGCGGCATGTTTTACTAATAAAAATGAGAATTGCAGTGCACAGAGCCCATGATAAAGACGACGTTGTTTTGAAGATGGTTTCATGTTTCTAAGAGACTGCAAAAACATCATTCAGTGTGGTGTGCGACTTTAAAATCGAAACAAAGGCCCACTGAAACCCAAAAGATACATGACCCCGAACAGGAGAAAACTCTTACCTGGTTCAGCTGTTGATCTCGGTTCTGTTTGTATGAAAAAGGAGACAAAAATGGGACAGAGTGTTAGAACAGCGATAATTAGCCTACTGCTTTGCTCCCGTTCTTTGGCTAGGCCTTATGTATGGAAATGGTGTGGACCATCTCTGCATAGGACAGAGTTAAGGCAGAAGCCACTCAGTTTCCATTTCCATGCATACAGAAACACTGTGCATGGGGAAGGGTAAGAAAGACTTCATAGTCCCAGACAGGCTTTCGACTCCTGAGCCTCTTAAAATGACTTGTCCAATTAAGTGAGTATCTGGGAATTTCTGCTCTAAAGGATCTATTCCACGTTAAATGGGTCACTGTGGTGTTGCTGTTGTTTTCTTCCATAGACATGAGGTAAGCCAATTCTTTTGCGGATTTCACAAGCAGCATTTTGGAAGGGGCAAATTCCAGCATTGACTGCCAACTGCATGAACATCTTGAACGAGAAAGAGCATCTACTCCCGGCCCTTTGAATGCAGGCAGTGTCCAACCATGTAACACTGCAGGAGCAATTTGAAGGCATTTCTTAAAGAAAGAGGCATTTTATCTCAGGCACACGCAACATAACACCATGTGACCAACACTATGTTACCAAGAGCGGTTATAGAGTGAAGTCCACGTAGAAGGCTGAAACTAGTGAGGTGACATTCATCTAGGGAGGTGTTTTCATCTGTAGATGAATGATCACAGAGGTTCCTTTGATCCCACTTTTACAGGGCGTTGTGAGGAAGGGGGAGGAGAAAGAAAGGGGCTGAGTTACACAGCTAAATGTACTCCCTGCACATTACAGACTGTGTAGTCTCATCCTACTTGGAAAATGCAAAACAGTTCAGGTAAATTCTTCTTAGTTCTCATGAAACCAGAGAATATCCAACTGAAACTCGGAAGAATGGACACCTTTCCTTACTTTTCTGGAGAATTCTGAAGTCTGGAGAGTCTTGGATTTCCCTCCCTTGCCGGAACCACTGGACCTGCAGAGGGGGTGCTCCTCGGACGCGGCATTCCAGGACCACCACCTGGCCCTCCGAGGCTGCTGTGTTCTGTAGTTCCTGAAATTCAAGAAGCCAGTGACCTCCTCAGACTTCACGCCTCTTTAAACAACCTCACAGCAGAGAAGAAAGATGCCAAACCTTAGGCAAAACCCCAAACACAGAGGAACAAAACCTCCACAAAGGGGTTGTCAGAAAATAATCCCTGTGGACTCAGGCAAGGATGATACCTTTAAGTCTGCTGGTCACCAGCTTTTCATGATCTCTGGCTCACGAGATTTGACAAGTTTCCCATAAGGCATGTGGGATCTTTTGGGCTGTTTACAGATTTGCACCGACCCTTCTTATTTGTGGAATTTGATGGTAACAGCTGCCACTTTCCTTCATCTGCATTTAATGGTGAGCTGGTGGAATGCAAGGCTTCCAAGCAATTATATTCCAAATGACTGCAGATCCGTAGGGGCAGCCGGATAAAAGAGACATGCATTTATTTTGGCAATCCCCCACCCTTTCATGTGCTGCCCACCTCCCCTGCCTGACAGTTTTCTAGGTCAGGTTTATGAAGCTAAGAGGTTTGGTATTTTCTCATATCAAGATTCCGATTCAAATAATCAGACTCTGCTGCATGGCTGCATGGCTTCCTTATTGACCTTGTTTCCGCCTCTCTTGTAACTGCCTTGTTGCCCTGACCCCACTCCAACTGCAGACTAATAAATTTTTATGATACAAAAGATAAATTAATTTAACTTTATGGATGCAGAGATGTGAAGTTTCGGGGCTTGTTATTAAATGCCAGAATGCTAACAATTCCCTTACATGTGTTCTCTCCCTCCCCTCCCCAGCCAAGATTAACTATTTACACATTCAGACTATCTGAGAATTAGACTGGGCTGTCAGATACCTTATAAGGTGTGTAGGTCTTTTGAAATAATGAAGTCATGATTTAAAAAACAACTTATCTACAAACAAACTAATTCACAGAATTTATTAGGATGTATGTGGACTTTGGGCAGGGTTTTGTTTTGTTTTTTTTTTTTTTTTTTAGGGTCTGGGGAATAATAGCTAGTCACAAATATTACAGAAAATGGAAAAAAATTAAAGCGATTCAGCAAGTGTTAAAGTGATGTGATAGTTAATGATAAGTGTTAAAGCACTGTGGATATTCTGAAAACATACAGTCTTTGCTAATGAATTATAAAAGTGTAAGGAGACTGGGCAGTTAACAAGAATTTCTCTCTTTCTCTCTCTCTCTCTCTCTCTCTCTCTCTCTCTCTCTCTCTCTCACACACACACACACACACACACACACACATTGAAAAGTTTAAGGGCTGGAGATGTTGATTTTTATACTTGAAATCTCAGGTTTGATCTTCAGCAGACAGAAGTAGATACTGGACAATCAGAAGTTTAAAGTGATCCTCAGCTATATTGATAGTTTTCGGCTAGCCTGGGCTATGTGAGACTTTTCTTAAAAAAAAAAAAAAATCAACTAACGATTGCATTCCTTTCTGTATTTGTGCTTTAAAGTGCAGAAGATGGCTGGCTTTAAATGTCTTTTCCTATTTTACTATATTTGTTTGTTCACTGCGTGTGGGATTGGGGCACACACATGCCAGAGGAGAACTTCCAGGAGTTGGGTCTCTCCTTCTACCATGTGGGTCCCAGGGAATAAATTCAGGCTTGGTGAAAAGAGCCTTTATCAGATGAAACATCTCGCTGGCCCTAGGAAATCTCTGACTTTTAAGCAAATGTTTTGTAGTTTATGATTGTAGCCAGGATGAGTTAATTTAGTGTTTCAAAGCACAGTGTGAGGTCCAGCTTCTGTGAGCCAACCTATGAAATGTCTCCAGGAAGCCATTTCTGGTACATAACAAATGACACAAAAAATATTTTTCATGCTTAAGCTTTTAGGCATCAAAGGAAATTAGATTTATTCCTAAAATTATGTGGCTTTTTATTTTTTATTTTTTTGCCATGTTTGGAAGCAAGAGATGTAGCAAATGAGTAGATGCCTACTGATGAAGACAGATAGAAATGTATGCTTGCTCTTAGATTTCGGTTTCTGCTTTCCTTCTTCTGTAACAACACACACACACACACACACACACACACACACACACACACGAACCTGTGAGCACATGCACACACACACATGTGCACACAATTGCACCATGGATGGATGGCTAAGCCTTGCAAGCCAGGAACATAAGAAGTCCTCAAAATGATGAGAACCAATGTTCAGAGGCTGAGCTTAGCTATCTGGATCATTATTCAGGGAACCATGTATGTTTCAGGATGCACATAAAGACCTCTCGTCACTGATCATGCTCACTAAGCATTGTGATTTCCTGGAAGAGTATAAGGGAAGACAAGGCCTCTGGAGTATCCATCCTGTGAACATCCCTATTTCCCACAGTCTTTACCAGCTCTGCTGTAGGATGCCCAAGCAGGATTTTTGGGAATCTTTACAGAAACATGGAAAAATACATGAAGGTATTCTTTGGATGGGAAAAGCCACCTTGCCATGCACTTTTCCCTTCATGCACAAAAGGAGTGCCAGAAACTCAGGGTGGTGAGTCCAAGAGTCGTCTGAGTCAAGAGCAGATGTAGGATCCCTATCTAAACCTGCTCCACTAAACGCTGGCCTAAAAGGATGCTGCCAACCACAGGGAGAAGCTGCCTAAAGGGAAGAGGAGAAAGCAGATGCAGGGAAGGGAGGAGTCCCGCAGAAGGCAGGCTTGCCACACCGGGCACCAGGTCAGAGGGCAGAGGTGCACATGGTACCGCCACATGCCCTGCCTTTGATTACTTAAAAAGCAACATACGGGAGGGAATGAGGGAGTGGGATACAGCTGGGACAGAGAGTTAACAAAATGTAACTAATAAGAAAAATAAAATTAAAAAAAAAGCCTCATGTAAAAAAAAAAAAAGCAACATACATGAAGAACAATATTTTCCAGCCATGTTGTTAGAACACAGAATACTTGATGTTTTGGTCTGTATGTGTCGTGGTGGTGGTGGTGGAAGATGACTGTTAACAGCGCTGTATCCTAGCAGTTGGATAATGGAGGAATCTGAGGTTTCAGTTCTAGATTTTGAGGGTTCTCTTGGTGTCCAGGAAGGATTCTGTAACCTTTATATGTGCCAGGCCCTGACAGAGGACCCTTTTGACCTTGTGATGAAGGACAACAAAATGTCACGTCTGTGTTTCCTCCTCCTATACCCCCCAACATGGACTTGATCTGTCCAAATAAAGCGTCGGTGAACGCTGGGCATAGTGGTGCATGTTTGGAATCCCAGCACTGAGAAAACTAAGGCAGGAAGATTGTGAGTTGGAGACTAGCTTGGGATATGTAGTACTACCATGTCCCCAAGAAGAGCAACAATAACACAAAACATAATCAATCAATCATAAAACCAGAAAATAGGTGTGTTTAGCTTTTGGTGCCTCCAAATCAGCCGAGTCATGGCTAACAATGCATGACTTAGCACACTTTTCCAGTGATGCCCTTGAGAAGGTGGCTGTGAAAAACTCTTATACATCATTCTGATTGTGAGCGTCCACCCCTTTAAGAGGTCCCTGCTCAGAACATCAGAGGAAAATGTCAAGGTCCTTTACAGAGACAGGTTTGTTAGGGTCTTAAAGGATTTCTTCGCTTTTCTTGTTGCTAGCATTTTTGTAAGTGGTTTTCACCTGGTGCCATTTGTTTTCTACAGTCACTGGAAACAGGGCAACCACTTAGGAAGACATCTTTATTAAGCTTGGATTCAGTCAGGCTTAGGAGGAGGGAAAAAAAAAAAGAACAAGGAAAAAAAAGTATTTCCTTACACAAAGATAGTAGAGCTGCTCTTGATGTGGACTGACATAAATTCCTTTTCCCCATTGTTCTCTTTCTTTTCTGAGGTAAGTTCACACTGCGTAGTCCAGGCTGGACCTCACTGCATAGACCTTGCTGGCCTTGAACTCGCAACAGTTATTTCTCCTGCAGCCTCCTGAGGGCAGGGATAACCAGCATGAGCCACACAGGCTCCCTCACATTAAGTATTATAGACTTGTTTTCTCATTTATCTTTTGCTTTCTTGGAATTTATTTTTGTGGCAAGTGTAGAGTTCAATTTAATTTTTTTAAATCTACTGAAGAATTCATTGTGTCCCCAGGTGATTTCTATGTGCCTGCAGTTATTGGAATAACCCTGCTGTTCTGTTCTCTCTCTTCAGCAATTTGTTGAGACTCATGCCTTTTTAGTTTTAGCACACCTGTGTTTCGACTGAGACTTGTCACATGAGGCCAAGTATAGGATCTTCTACTCAAGGCATCGATCAATATCCAAAGTTTCAGTTTTTAAAGCATTTCTAATTAGGGGTGATCAATTTTTATTATGGCTATAATAATACCTATAGGGGGTCTTGGTATCTTACAGGACAAACTGACTTCTTCCCTTAATGTTGCCTCCTTTATTGCTTCAATAGGACCCTGGCTATTCATAGCCACTTTTCTTTCTTTCTATAACTTTACTTTTAGAAGCAGGTTGCTACACTGTGTATCAAACAAATGGACAGAAACAAGAAACTTGTTGGAAGTTCAGTAAAATTTGCATTAGATCCTATATCTGGCAAGCAAGGACTTCATTAGTCTTTTAACATGAGAATGGCTTATCTTTCCTCTTATTTGGCCTTTTAAAATGTCTGTCGATAAAGTTTTAGACTTTTCTCCAAAAACAAAAAGAAAGAAAATCTGCATGGACTGGTTTCTGCTTCTGCAGTCATTCAATGACACGAAACTTACCTTGGCAATATAAATCTCCAACTTAAAACAAATAGAAACTTAGGTTTTTGTTTGTCTGTTTTGTCTGTTTTGCTTGTTTTTGTTCTGTAAAGCTTCCTAAATATTTCCAGAGTTTCTTTGGGAGTAATAAAGAAAATTGATTGATTCTTGGGATTCACCGTACAGACCAGTCCTGGCCTTGAATTAAAAATCCTCACACCTCTGCCCCCAAGTGCTGGACTGCAAACATGTGCTACGATGCCCAGCTATAGAGAAAGAAAAAAACTTAAATACTGAATTTTATCTTATTATTCATACCTCTGTTGGCTCTCCCACTAGGTCAGACATCTGGCTTCACCTGCTTACAGCCATGGTTCTCAGTCTTGCATAAGAAAATAGCCGCACAGCCATTACTCAACAAATACCTACCATCCCCTAAGGTAACCAGGATAATCTGCCTATTAATATCTTCATTTCAAATCTGAAGGGCTGCTACATAAAGTCACATGTGAATGAAATCTAAGCACTAAGGAAAACAAGGGGAATGAGGCTTCCAGATGTCAGACCTTAGTAAAAACAGGAAGAAGGCAGCCCACGGCGGTTCCATCAGGTCGGCAGAGATACGACGTTGGACTGTGAACCTGAAAGAGCAGAGACACATGGATCAGATTCTCAATATATAAATCTCTGAAAAGATGGGCTAAAGAAACCTTTCATTATGGGGATTGCTCTGCTTGAATGAGTTGAGTGTATGAAAGCATCGCCATACATTACCCGCTAGTCTGCTCTTACAGCACAGGCATTGTTCCGCCCCCTCCTGTCACATCTGTTACTCTTCTCTGTTCAAAAGGATATTGGAGGTAAGAGTTCCCTGGGTCCTGGGGGAATCGGAGAGCTTTTAAATGCTATTACCAAATGGATTTCTGTGTGTGGGACTTCCACAGGGGTCTGTTTAGAAGTTCTCACAGACACTATATTTTATTTTAAAATACAGTCTGGATTCATTGAATCAAAAGGACAAACTATTGGCAATGAAGGGTAAAGTAAATTATGGAAACATCTGCCTATCTGATTTTTGATGTGAACTCTTCCAATAAAGGAGGATAGAAAACATAGGGGAAAGAAATCAAACTCATTCATTGATGTGTACAAAACTCAAGGTACTGAAGCGATTACTGAATAGCAGTCATCTCAGGTGGAGTAAACATTTTCAGAGTTGTGAATGGAGAATAAAAAGTAATGAATGGAATGTGTGTGTGTGTGTGTGTGTGTGTGTGTGTGTGTGTGTGTGTGAAATTGCGTATTTTCAAGTAATCCGCAGTTACTCATTTATAAATTGATAGCAATCCGATACCATGAACCTGAATCATGAAGCAGTGGAGATACTATATCCGTGACAGATCTTATTCATTGTCCCGGCAATACTTTTTACTGGCTTGTGATTCAGGAGGTCTGTGTCTCACTTTTCACTGTCTTTGACATCCAAAGAATACACGGATGCTTTTATAGTATTGCCCTGGGTCAGACATTGTTTGAAATGTTATATAAAAACCAACTCAGGGCTCTTCACAATACCCCAGAGAGATTGCTCGTATTATCGTTTCCGTTTTGCAGATGAAGGAACTAGGCCCATAGAGGTTATACTATTTGCTCAAAAGTCTCTTTAGTAAGTGTGGAGAGCTGGGATTAGAACCCAGTTACTCTGGATCCTAACTGTTAAACTTTTCATCTCACTGTCTGCAAGAAAGAAATGATGAACACGTCAGTCTCACATCTGTTAAGCAGGATTCCTTATTTAGTATTCCTATAGAAATAAAGCCATTTAAAATGTATTCTGCACATAATTATTGTATTTGCATCTATACATCAATGCATGTCTTTTTGTTCCGTGTTTCACAATAAATTCGGACATATTAGAAGTATCTCAAGCCACCTTCCCCCATCTAGTCTATAAACCGCAAAGGAGTAGGCACTCATGACTCCTGCTTTCTGCCATGAAATGCCTAGCATTGCACTTAGCATTCAAGTAAATACTTGTTGGTAAAGAAAAGCCAAACTCGAACAAAATCTATCCATGGATTCGACCAGAGATAATTATAGAAATGTCACTCTGGTTCAGTGGTTTAAAGGAAGTATCTGCCGTAGCTGCCATTTCTAGGTGACTTACCCTTGTCGTTCCTCCCAAGTGTATGAACACAATCTTCTTTTCTCTGCTGCTTTCAGCTTCTACATGTTACTATGCACATGGCATGCAGGAGTGCTGTATGTTATCATGGATAATATTATGGGTAATAAAAGCTGATGGAAGTCACCGGGATACACATGAGACAAATCTCTTAACTAGGGGCGGATTTACCTACCAAGAATGTCAGAGAAGCCTTCTACCATTGTAAGATATACATTATATCAAGTATTTATAAGCATTTGATGTTCTCTTAAATCAGCATTCAAAAATAATGCTGCTGATGTTTGCACAGTACACTCACTGCAGTTACCTCCGTAGTTGTTCTTTCTTTGAAAAGGCAGCCCTGCACTGACCTAAAACCAATATTTAAAAATAGTACAGTTCGGTCAAAAAAAATCAGAGGGTTTTTTTTTTCCTAAGCCACACTCTTTGGCTTTCAGAGGTGGGAAAATTTCCTGTTGGCATGTGAACTTTCCTGGTCTTTTAAAATAAACTAATGAAATAGGCTAACTGGATGAAAGGATAGAGAGGGACACACAGCGGGTGTCAGTCAAGCAGAGCTAAGGCTGACACCTCTCAGAGGCTCCTACGTGAATGTGATTGTTGGCTAACTGGTGGTGTGGCTTGGATAACAGATTATTCTTAGTGAACAAAAGTGAGGACATTAACCATTGGCGTTTCTTCCTTCATCATTGTTTTTATTCAGAAAATATCACAAGGGAATGTATCACTTAGAATCAAAGTCCTATTCCTAAAAGGGAGCAGCCTGCTTGCTCTTGACCTCAGTCCCTTGTGGGGCTGGAAGCATAATTACCTGTTGGACAGGCACAGATAAGGGCTGAATCACAGCTGTGGTCACTCCTGTCTTAGGAGACGAGGAACCTATCGTCAAGGAAACGGATGTTGTTTTCTTCTGAGCTCTGGAAAATAGAGAAGCGAGTATTAGGATGTAGGTTTTATTAATTATCATTATTACTATTATTAAAATGAGCGCTTGCTCTTTAAAATATTTTTACAGAAGACGTGGGTTTCATTTTGTAGGCTCAGTCTACTTCTGTTAAAATTTGCTTCAGAAGTTGGAGTTAATTCATCAACACAGATAGCCAAAAGAGCTGTGTGCGCAGGGGATGGATAAAATGGACTTTAACAAGCACACACATGAAAGAAAAGTAACCAGAGGCAACTCATACTGAAAAAACATTTTAAGGTATTATCTTTTAAAAAGATCCCAAGAGAAAATAAGAACCGGGAGAGCTCTAGTCTTTATCAGTTAGCAAATATTTGACATCTTTATGGTTAGGGTCCTATATTTAACTCGGTTTTAGTGTTTATTTTAAGGCTAACAGCTGTCCCTTTTGCTGGCTTCTAATTTTGTTGAGAGTGACTTAGAATTTTTGTCTTCTTTCAGTCAGACTTCATTAGGATGGAAGAGCAAGGTCTAGTAGAGTCCATTTCCAGGCTCACCACAGCCTAGAGAATGTGAAGTCTCTGAACTTGAACTCTAACTTAAATCAGGTAGAGTGTACAACTGAGGAGGCTCCTTTAGCATTTGTGATCATCTCATGTTGGGTGGACACGATTTTTCAAATTACATATGATTTTTTAATTATTGTAATAGTCTTAAAAAACAGTGCTTGTAATTAGTGTATAAGGATCTAATCAGGGATATTAGATTTTCTTAATAGATATAACTGTTATGTATTTACTAGTAAATAAAAACATTTGATGGCATATCTCAGCAGTAGTGGAGTTATCTCTCAAACTTAGGAAGACTTGATTATACTTGAGAAGACAGTAAAATTTGTTAGTAACCTCCCTATCTGGCCTTTTCAGATGCAAGGTCTAACTAGTAGATCTTTAACCAAAGGAAAATCTGTTTCTGGCCCAATGAGCCATTTTTGATCCTCATTCTCACCTTAAAGTAGCCTAACTGGTTTTTCTCTCAGTGTGACTGGTCTTGTCCCATGGCTATCTTTTAAGCTTGCTTTCATGTCGGCATACTGATGATGAGATACAGACCCCCGCCATTTAAACTCATCTGAAGTAGAAAATTGTGTCCCAATTCCATACACTCTATCTCTGATGGACACTTGACCTTCCCTAGCCCAGCACACCTGGCTTCAAAACTCAGCAGCTGTTACCCCTCTTTGTCACACACACGCAAAGGCACTCACTGTGGCATAGCTCCAGCTTTTGATATGAAAGGCAAGCTTTCACTGTCAGAGTCCGTTGAACTGGCTCCTGGGGAGACATTAAAAATTATGACAGTTAGGATATGGGTAGCACCAGCATCTAGAAGACTCTCGAAGAGCAACGGTCTTCCTCTGTGAATAGCACCGTGCAAAGTCTCGCTTGTGCTACAAATAGACATCGAAACTGAAGATGATTCTGTGTCAAATCAATTTTTATTGTTGTTTCTTCAGAAAAATAATCTTTTAAAGGTACTATTAATAGCTTGCTTGCAGTGCTGGATTTATTATTAGCTTCATTTTTATCACTTTGGCCATCTCAGTCATCCTTTTACATGGCTAGAAAACTATGAGACAAATGTGAGTGTCTTTGTGGAAAAATGCCCACGTCTTTAAACTTTGACCCCGGGAGATCACATGGCTTCACTACTGCTAATCAGAAGCAGCTTCCTGCCCTTCCTCTGAGTGCGATGGTGCCTCTAACTGCAGTTAGTCTCTCAGGTCTTTTGTTGACCTTGAAAACAGTCATGCTGAGGTAATTCCCTTGGAATGTTTGTTCTGTCACTTCCTACTTCAGTGTGGGTGTTCTTCACCTGGCTCCTGTGCTGCCATGACGGCTCAAGTCTTCCCATTTCTTTCCCTCACAAATCCATCCTTCTCTTATGTCAGATTAATTTTTCCCAGCTTACCCCTTTCCCACTAAAGCACGAGAGGATGTCTGAGTTCAGACGAGAACTCCTTGAATCTGACATTCAACAGACTTCATGATTTCTTCTAGATTTCTTTGCCAGACTCTCTGGCATTTGCAGGTCACGTGATCCTGATCCACAGAACTGAACAAACACCGCTTAGGAGGTAGGATGTGATCCTGGAGAAATTCAGCATATATACAAACCCTTGTACAGTCCTCTTCTCATGAGCACACAGGTAGAGGAGCAAGATCTAAATACCTTAGATGGCAAATCAGGGAAAAGATGAGGCAGGAGAGGGGTGTGGGCAGTGAGAAGAATGGAGTGGGTTTGCAGTTCCAAGTAGGGAGCAAGGAAGGCTCCCGAAGGATGAAGAGGAGGGAGAAGATGGCCTGCCTGGCCCTGTTTCAGCTTCCTTGTTTGTACCTGTAGTTCTGCCACTTACTTTCTTTGGACACACTCTTGGCGATTCTGTCCTTTGGAACTGTCCTTTTGCTGTCTTCTCTGGGTTCTCAGTGCTCTTTGTTTACAGCATGCATGTCACCTGTCACTTCTGCCAGAAAATTTTCAGTCCTCTGAGAACTGAGGGTAGCTTAAGAAAGGAACTAGCAAACTGTCAATAGCTGATATTTACTCAGCAGTCAGCTTGGCTCATAGCAGCATTGGCTTGTGATAATCTATTATAACTTTACCAAGAAGTAAGCTATGCCCAGTTTATAGGCAGGGGAATGGAAGAACCAAGCCAGTCGGTAACTTTCCAGGTAGTGACAGGCTGCACCATGTTTTTGAACTCTACCCCCATGTTCTACCCCGGCGACCTTCTAGGCTGTGTGTATCTGGATTCCTCAGAGTGCTTCATTCTCTGCTTGTCCAGAGCTGGCCTTTAGCCTCTGCTGGAATGAGGGCATGCCATTAGGGAATTGTAAGACTTGTTTGGCCACAGGGAGTGGAGTGTGCAGAAGAAAGGAGGCAGCATGCTGGAGAGGCAGCAATTGAGGCCAGCTAGATATATAAGGCAGGTGTGGAGTGCTGGAGTTGAAGGGCCTGCAGTTTATTGGCAGGGCATTGAGGGTGGTAATGGAGGCTGAACTGCAGGATTAGCTGGGGGGGAGGGTACATAGGCAAAACACGTGGAAGCCTCAGAGGCAGGCTTTGGAGGGAGGAGGAAGCTTTCGTTCTAATGAAGAGGTGGGAGGGGATAAGCAGGGAAGGCCCAGGAACTACCAAGAAAGACTGTTATCAGCATGGGCTGGGCTATTCACAGATACCAGCTTTAACTGGAACCATAAAATTGGTTTTAAGGGGAGCAAAGTCCTACGGAGTGGTCGCAAGCAGTCTCAGAGTGGTGAGAAATACGGAAGAGAACCTGCTATGTTCACCTGACTCCAACCGTTTCTAGCCTGTAAGAAGAATATTTTCCTCTGCCGATTTCTATTTAGAAGTCAGTCCTGTTTAACAGATATGGTGTGAGGGGGTATACATGTTACGGTGCACATGCGTAGGTCAGTCAGTTCCCAACGGAATCCCTTCTAGTCATCCTCTCTTATGTAGGTTCTGGGGCCTGAATTCTCGCTGCCCGCCTTTTGTGACAAGTGCCTTCACCTGCTGAGCCATCTCGCCAGCCCTACTAAAAGATCATTCTTACTGGGTGTGGTGGTTTACACTTCTAGTCCCAGCACTTGGGAGCCTGAGGCAGAGGGATAGCCTTGAATTTAAAGTGTATCTGGACTTCTTAGTAGTCTGACCCTGGCTGGAGAACAACAATAACAAACCCTACAGCAGGAACCAGAGCCAGGATCTGTGATACAGGACTGGTCTCAAATCCTAGCACTAGAGGATTCTTGTATGTTCAATGGCAGCTTGGGCTACAAAAGGAAATCTTACCTTAGACAGTTGTAACTATAATACAGATGTAGAAATCCTGACTAATCCATAGAAGACCCTGGGTTTGATCCCTGCACAGACAGATTAAACAAACAAACAAACAAAACCCAAAAAAAACTAAAACCCTTTTCTTTCTATCTTTTTGCAATTGCTCATCAGAGAAAGATAGTTAAAAGTATTAGAATCCCTGGAGTGTTTTCTGCACCTGCCCAACCCTTGTGGAATGTCAATGTCACCTTCTGTCTCAGATGTCAAAGCAGCTGTGGCAGGCTGTAACAGACCAAATCTTCACAATGCCAGCAATTTCCTTTCCCTCACCTGAGGGCAATTCCTTCCTCCCTTTGCAAGCCTGTCCCTGTGTGTTATCTACTGGTCAGAAATGTTCCTGGTTTGGGTTGCTGCCTGGGAAGACAATAATTTAAATTAAAAACAAACAAACAAACCAGGTGCACAGACTATTTAAAGTGAAGGACACACGGGAGAAAGATAAGAAATGTCAACATACTAAGAGTGACTACTGGGTTGGAGGTATGGCTTGGTGGTGTATGCATGTATGTGCATGGTAAGTGCGTGCTTAACATGAGTGAAGTCCTGAGTTCAGTTTTCAACACATATATACACACAGAGAGGAATCAAAGGGCGGTCAGGGCATGCATGTATGTGTGTGTTGTGTATGTGTGTGTGTGCATTTGTGTTGTTTTAGTTATTATTTTTTTTTTTAAGGAACATACTATTTTTGTGATCTTCAGAACAGCCAGCATCACATGCCAGACATTGCTTTAGGACTGATTCCCTCTATTCTGACAATGATCTTAATTTGAGGCACAGAGCCTCTGTTAAAGGTGTTAAAGGTCACAGAGTAATCCATTAACTTTTTAAAAAATACTAGAAAATTATTTTAAAATATATAATATGAAAAACAGCCTAAGATATCCTTAGACTCTTTCAGGCTTTCTATATAAATTGTCCAATTTATCAGAAGGAAAATGTGCTTGGCTATCCATTTGATGTCAGACTTTGGATGTTGCGGTGGTCCGGCATCTGGGACTAGACCTCATCAGAGCAGAAGGAGCATTGGCCCATGCAACATCATGGCATACTTCCAAACCTCGCTAGCCTGGCTACTTAGCATCAAGTGAATACAGACTCATGTCAAGCAGTGCCTGGCTCCTTGCATCTCTCCTTTGCATTCCTGTCCACCTCCCCATCTTCTGATGCTGACTTTCTGCCCTCTCCTCCTGATTCACATTCTTCATGCCCACAAGGTCTGGTTCAATCCAGATGCCTTCACCCCACATTTCAGAGCCACCACCCCACCCTCTACGGAGTTCTTAAAGCTCTGCCAATCCCTATAATTCATTTTACAATGGAAGGAGAGAGTGGTGTAAAGTTGGGATAGATTCATTTCACTTGTTGCTTATTTTTCCTATTTACATATTGTTGAGACTATTCCTTTGCTATCTAGCCCAGGAGGGGCACCTCTTTTCCCCATCCTGTACACGTGGGAGCCATATTCTTACCCCTTAAAGACTTTATATCTTGATCTCCTTCTTTTCTGCATAATCTAACTTTTCCCTTTATTATGACTTTTCATCAGCATATAAACATATTCCTGTAACTCCTGCTTGAAAAGAAACTGCAAACAAACTGTCCTTTATGACCTCATACTCTTTTCCAGATTCTGCCAATATGTCTGCTGGTGACTTGGCAAAACTTCTCAAACAACCATCCAATATCTGCTACTGCTGCCATAGTTTGTGAAATTTTTTCAACTCTGACACCCGACTCCCCAACTCTCTCTTGCTAAAATCACCAACAATGCCCAGTGTTGCTAATGTCAGTAGATTTCCTCCTTGATCTCATCTGACTTCTCAGTAGCATGGACAGTGCTGGCAAATCCCTCCTTCCTGAAACCATTTCCTTCTCCTCTGGCAATGGTTACTTTTAATTGTCAAACTGATACAATGTATCCTCTGCAGGACAGTGAGAGATTGTTTAGATTAGGTTGGTCTGTGGGCATGTCTGTGGAGGACTGTCTTGATTATGCTAACAGACTTGGGAAGACCCAGCCCACTGTGGAGGGCACTATTCCTTAGGCAGGGGATCTTAGACTAAGTGTGAAGAGCAAATTAAACAATATGAAGCCTGCAAGCATTCACTTCTTTCTGCTCTTTGACTGTGGATATCATGTGACTAGTTTCAAAGTTCCTGCTACCTTGAATTTGCTGAAATAATGGACTGAAACCTGGAAATTTGAGCTAAAACAAACCCTTTCATCACCTCTAAGTTGCTTTTGTCCCTGTCTTCTGGCTGATGATATCCTGGTACCTTAGAATCGTTTGGTTCTTTTGTCCTTCTGGCCTTCCTCAGACAGTGCCTTTGCATGTGTTCCTGCTGGAGCACCCTTTTCCCAGTTTTTCCTACTCTTCTCTGCTGGTTTTAAATCAAATATCACATCTTCAGAGTGGTTTTCCACTCATCCACCCCATTAGCTGGCTCTTTTTTTTTTTTTTTTCTTTTTTTTTTTTAATTTTTTCTGGGCCATTCCTCTTCTTTTTCTGGAGTGTGAACTTCAGAATGGCTCTGTGTTCACTAATGTGAGTTTTGTGTTGGGATCAGTGGCTGTTTCACAGCAGTTATTGAACATACATGTGAGGATGGCCAAAAAAAAAGCTTCACTGTAACCTGAAAAATGCCATGAAAGCAGAGCAAGGCAAGGGCTATAGCAACTCTAATAATAATAATAATAAAAATAATTTCCTTTTTATTCTGAAGAAACAAAGAAAAGTCAGATTGCCTGCATTTGAATCCTTGACTCGGGTGAACATGCAAGCATTCAGACACATACACACACAGAGAAAGAGAGAGAGGATCATTATTTAACCCCTTAAATTTGTTTTCTCAACTATCTACTCATAATTTTATTATTGTTATTATTATTGCTGTGCATATGCACCTCATGATGGTACATACAGCACAGCACATATGTGGAGGTTAAGATGAAACCCATGAGAGTCATTTCTGTTCTACTACATGGGTTCCAAATTCAGGTTTTCAGACTTGACAGCAAGTGTCCCTACCCACTCTGCTGTCTTGTGGGGCCGCAAAGAGGGATTTGGAGAATTTTCAACTAGTAGGTTTGGAAACATTCAGAATTATTTTTTTATTGATATTGAAAGCTCTACAAATTCTTTGCTTCTGGTAGTGACTCCTTACTGATGAGGAATTAGCAATGTGTTTGAGCAAGGCCTAAATCTAACCAGCGCTGGAATTAGTGAATGCAAATTTCTTACTTCAGTCTCACAGTGAGACTAACAACGTGTCTGACCTTAACTCTCATTCATGTCTTTGTTGTTCTCAGGGATAAATATACATTAAAAAAAATCTCACTTAAAACTTTAATATTTATCCACATTTAACAAGGTCAGTGTTAACAAGTTTCTGTAATATTTTATGTTATTCTTAAGAAGATGAATCTCATTGGCTCCGTATCTTGCTTTGCCCAGTTCCTTTACCCTCCCTTCAATCTAGGCTACCCTTCAATGAAGGCTGCATACTATCTAAACTCACAAAAAAAAAAAAAAAAAAAAAGAATGAGCAGGGGCGTTAAGAGAGTTTAGTGAGCATCATGAGAAAACTGAGCATTGGTAAAGAAAAATGCACATTATTTCTAACAAGCCTCCAAGCAAAGGAGGCATTGCATATTAAGGTGTTCTGAATGAACAGATATGCAAAGAGAATCTACACTCCTCCACAGTGTTCTAGAATGCGACAAGAAATTCATTGTAGAGCCTACCCATCAGTGACACTTATTAATAACTCATTAGAAAATGAGATGTCTTTTGTCATTAATTTTTCACTAATGAAGCGCTTTAAAATATTACTAGTATGATGGAGTGGCTAAGAACACGGCCTTTAAATTGGAGGAGCCCTCTCAATCTCTCTGGGTCTGTTTTTCATTTCAAAAATGGAAATCAGAAAAATGCCTGAAAGGACTAACAGCGAAGCTTAAATAAATTTATCTGCATGCCTGTGTGCGAGCCTTACAAGGGCCATATGAGAGATAGGTATTACCCTCGAGCTGTTTGCTTTTTTGTAAGAGGAGAAGGTTGCTAGAGGTTTCTGATTAACACAAATGCAAAGTAGAAAGTCCTTTCAAAAGAAAAGGTACCAGTTTTTAGTCATTAGTACTTGTTACTTTTAAAACTACTTTTTTTTACCCTCAGTTCTTGAAGGAGCTCTAGACAAGAGTTCACACCTTATTTTCTTTGCTTTAGTAATGAAATAGTATAATAGCTGGAAATTGAAGATCAACCTAGTAGAGACCCCAAGTATTTGCATGCTTGTTCGAAATTTTAAGTATTATTTTTAAGAAGCAAGTGATTTACAGGATAGCCATTGTAGATTTAAAGCCAATCTGAGAAGTGTGGTGTTTAAGCACTGCCAATTATTTAAAAATATTGATACTGATACAAATAATTATATTATCTAAACTATGATACTCTGGTAATCAAGCTTTCCAATTTCATAAAGTTTGGTCTCATTAAAAAACGACTAATGCCTGCTCTTTGATCACATACCCCTAAGGGGGGAGCAGCCTTACCAGGCCACAGAAGATGACAATGCAGCCAGTCCTGATGAGATTTGATAGACTAAGATCAGAAGGAAGGAGGACCTCCCCTATCAGTGGACTTGGGGAGGGGCATGCATGAAGAAGGGGGAGGGAAGGTGGGATTAGGAGGGGAGGAGGGAGGGGTTTATGAGGGGATACAAAGTGAATAAAGTGTAACTAATAAAAGTTAAAAAAAGAAAGCAATGCTGATTATTTGAGCAAGTAAAAAAAAAAAGACTAATGATTGAACAATAGAAGCAGTCAGTTCTCTCAAACCACTTAAATCATCCCCATCAACTCATTCAAGTTCATGGTTAACTGGTGGAAATGAGGGAGTCTTAACAACAACAAAAAGCTTAGTGCTCAAATTTAGTAAAAATGGAAACATTTCAAAATACTCATCACTTCTCGTTTCCATGAGTGACTCCCTAAACCTTTTATAACTTTGGATCACACAGTTATCACTTTCCATACTTCATGTACTTGAGGGGGGTAAGCTAAATTCGGTGCTGTATATTCTAAATAAATTGAAGTTAATGTGGTGGAGACAAAAAGGAGCAAGTGTTGGCCTTAGACACAGTTGAGGCACACCTAAGTGTCAGGGCTGTTCAAGGAAGAACTCACTTGGAGATTTTCTCAGGAGAAATGAGGTTTAACCCACACCATCCCGGCGCTATTTAGATTGGAACATTGTATTTGCTGGGTGTAAGGATGCCTGGAGCACAGCAGAAGACCATTCACCCTCCACCCTCCACCCGCTCCTTACCTTCAATGAACACCTCTGCCGATGTGGTGTCCGAGCCGCTGGGGTTCGTAGCCAAACACGTGTAGCGACCTGTGTCGTCCTCAAAGGCCTCAGCGATGACCAAGGTGTGCAGCTCCCCACCCTCACAATGGATCTGGATGTCAGGACTGTTGTACAGCTCCTTCCCCTCACAGAACCATCTGCAGGACCAACAGAGGACAGGGATGACGGAGGAACGGGTATGCGAAGTGATGAAGCAGTGGCAGGAGACTAAGCAGTCTCATGCCGTGCTAGAAGATGCTTGCTTGATGAAAGATCTGGGTCAGTGTTAGTCATGGAAATGGAACCCAGCCTGTGAAATTAATGACTAGACACATCTACCCCACAAAGATTTTCTTTGCAAAACATCTTGCACACTTTAGTAACCTTAAAATTAGCAATCATGTTGAATTCATAAAAAGTGTTTGGTTACAAAATCAAGGGAAAAGACCTCAAAGTGTCTTACAACATATTTTATAATGAAGGACTCCTATCCATGATCATTATAACTTTACCTATAATTCTTATCTAAGGAAGAGCAAAGAAGAAATATAAATTTCATGCTCAAACTATTTGCAGTGCTCAGGAAACACGGTCATTAATGGAATTTCTATTGACTAGCAAGACTTCTAAGCTCCGAGCAGACTGCTTTGCTCTCCAAGATGGAGAGAGGGAGCAACTGAGCTGTAATTCATTCTTGCTAGTCAGCACTTTGTTTTCCCAAATGGTGGAGGAGTTTGGAGCTGATTGACAAAGTTTCCATCCCACGGTCTTTCTATTTCCCTTGCTCCTCAACCTAACAGCAGTTGACTGCTTTTCATAAAACAAAACAAATCAAATAAAAACAAAACATACGTTACCCTCAAATCTGCTAGTGAGATATGCTTTTAAAGAAACACAGAGGAATGTGCTAGTTTAAACTAAGTCTGGAGAGTCTGGAACTCTATTTTCCATTCAGCTATTAGTAATATTAGGAAACTGGTTCTGAGTTATATTCTGTAAAACTCTATGGGCTTGGCATCCTTTTGTGAAAACATGGTGACTTTGGGGACTAGTTTTTTATTTGGAGTCACGGGTGTAGGTCTATATTTAATTTGAAAACAAAGGCACTTGCTAATTCTCAGAGCACTAATCCCAGAAGCCATATTAAAAACCACATGTGAATACTTACAAAAGGATAGCCGTGACTTAGGGAATTAAAGACTGTAACATAACGAGCCAATACCATGCACCGTTTTATGTAATGTGGCTCGTATCATTTTGGGGTGACAGAAAGGGGCAGTCTTTGATTCTGGTGCACAGTGTGATTGTTCTTGTTTGCAGGAAGTCTCAGAGATCCACACAGCTTAAAGCCATGCTTCATCCCATTCTTCCCTCTTTTCACAGCCAGAGTCCAGCTAGCTGCTCACAGTAAGCATGATGTTAGCCTGATGGTCCTGTCTTTGACAAATATTAAATTTTGTGTCATCAGACTAATGCTCCGGAATTTCCTCCAACTGTCACTCCTTAAACTTCGGGTCTGTAATTGATTGGTTTCCTAGCGACCTCACCTTAGCCTTATTTTCTATTGTTCTTTTTATGCTAAACTTCTGTTTCTGTCAAATATTCCAGGGACTCACTATTATATCACCTCAAGGGTTACTGTCCTACCATTCTGACACTTTCCCTTCCTTGGAATTGTCTTCTGACCTTCTGCATTAATCCTCATTACAAACAATCCCTTCTCTAAGGCCAAGCCAAAGGCTTGCTCAACAAAGCTTCCACTGACCACAGAACTGCTGAGTGTTGTCTAAACAAAGGCACTGAATCCTGTTTGGTAACCTCTGAAACTAATGTGGAGTTTGTGTATCTGTTCTGGTTTTAGGTAGTTTTGGCTTCCAGGAAAAAGATATAAACCCACTATTAAGGGAAGATGAATCATGGAAAGGTATGGGGAGGTCTAAGAACACAATGATATCCAGGGAGTAGATGTACCTCATCGGGAGGAGTTTGCCAGCTACAAGAGTCTGTGCAGAATCTCACTCTCGAACTCCAAAAATTTACAGCTTGCAAAACTGTTTTAACATGGTTGCCAGCAAAATCCTGCTTTTTGTATTTTTGAATGGCTGAGGGGGAGGAAAAATCAAAAGAAGAATAATATTGTGTGACACTGAAAATTATAATAACCTCAAACTTTGGAGTCAATAAAGTGTTATATGTATTTTAAACATAACCACATTCATTCATTTATGTATTGCCTGTGGCTGCTTTTGCTTTGTGGCGATGGGGTAGGGAAGGAGTTGCAATACACTGTCCAGCGCCGAAACTCACTTTCTGGACTTTCTAGGCAAAGTTCCTCAGTGCCTGTTTTTGTTTCTGACCTTGAGACAGCTGCCTCAGCACCACCTGGAAAGAGTTGGTTAGACATATAGAATTCTGACCCTCATCCAAAGATCCCTGAGTGCTTCACTGAAATAGAACTTTTAAGTCCGGGTCTAATACACCCTAGTTGTGCTAACCTGTACCAGCGAATCTTGATTCTCTATTCCAAGCCAACTGTGCTTCACATCTCTGGTCTCTTGTATGTAGGCACATTCTCAGTTCTTTTGTTTTCTTCCTATTGGTACTTAAACACTTTTAATATCACCTCACTTATTTGACATTTGATCACTTACTGCGTTTTAAAAGGTTTATTTATTTTGTATGTATGAGTGTTTGTTTGTGTGAGTGTAATGTATGTGTGCCATGTGCATGCTCGGTGCATATGGTGGCCAGAAGAGGATGTCAGATTCCCTGGAACTGGAGTTATGGGTGGTTGTGAGGTACAGTGTGGTGCTGGCAATTGAACCTGGGTCCTCTGCAAGAACAGCAAATGCTTTAAACTGCTGAGCCATCTCTCTAGCCCTGCTCACTATTAGGCTTTTATATCTTCTGTATTACTTTCTTCTATCTTTACTCAATGTCTAATGCATGTATGTCTTATTTTCCTATCTAGAAAATGGACTACTTTTTTAATTAGTACAAAATAATGGGTTTTATTGTGATAGTTTCATATACACACTATAACGTACTTTGATTCTATTTCCCCCTTCCCTTTCTTCCCTCCAAATTCTTCCATATGCCCCCTTTGCTTTCTCTTTCTGATTCTTTTTTGAGACAGGGTCCCACTGTGCAGCCTAGGCTGGCCTGGAACTTACAGTGATCCTCCTGTCTTGGCCTCCTGAGTGTACTAGGATTACAGACCTAACTCACCATGACTGGAATCATTTCTGTTCCCTCTCGATACTTAGCCACTAATATGAACTAGCTCTTGATTGAAAAAAAAATGCATTTGGAGCAATTTATTATTGATCATCTATGAACCACACCACGCTGGTCTGTAACTGTTACACATTACCTCATACTCAGCCTTTGAAGGTTACAATTCACTTTTCTCATCAAATACTCTGAGAAGGCCTGAAGAAAAATACTGTTTAATGGTCTCTGATCTAGCATTTACCACACTTAATAGATCATGGGATTCTCAATAAGCACTTACCAGGATCCTACATGCATATTATGAGATTTTCTAGAATATTAATTCCATAGAACTTGCATTTTAAAAAGACAGATTATAATGTAATAAAGATAAGTACCAGACTAAAAGAAAAAAAAAACCCTCCACTCACAATACATATCGTTGAAATATACCTTAAAGAGTTTATATTTCATATATCAGAAAGAGTAAGATAAATGCTTTCTTTGCAACAATAGACATTGTTTTTATTAAGACTATACTACTTAGCCTTCCATATTAGAGACATGTATTATTACACACACACACACACACTTTTTTAGGAGGTAAGATCTTTAAGATGGGCTCTTTTGTACCAGGCTGGTCTCAGCTCACTGTGCCAATTTCATATTTCCCAATGATGGCCCTGAACTCCCGATCTTCCTGCTTCTGTTTCCCAAGTGTCTGTGCCACAGGCACGTGCCTCCCACTCAGCCGTCCATAATAGATTGAAATCAGTGCTTCCTGTGTTTCCCTATCCTACTAAATATAAGTTTCTTCTGGGTTTATGCCTTGGTCTTTTTAACGTATTCTCTTCGCTTTAGCAGAGTGTTTGGTGTGCTAAAGGTGCTTAAACACACCTTTATTTTCTGGGTTTCTGCTGCTTTGGCATCTGGGGTGCCATCAGGAGATTGTCCTTCCCAGAGTCAGTCATATCTAGAAATCTGAAACTGGCCTGTAAGCATGACTTTCACATGCAAACCAAGCAACCCAGAATGCTTGCTTCTGTCACATTCTCCACGGGGCTGTCACCCAGAGCCACCACATGCTTACCTGCCCTCATGGTCCCTTAGCCAGGGGCTGAAAAATAGGGACAGGCCCTGTGCCTCAACCCACTGATTCATACAAATGGGCTAATTATCAGTTGGCTCATTCTTCCCTCTATTTCTATCCTTCTTATAGAAATTGTAATACTGACTTCCATGCATAGTTTCTCTGCCCTGGCCTGGGAGCTGACTTGGTTTTTCTTGTGGTATGGCTGTGTGAACTGTAAGTATAAATGATCTCCAATTTCTCTACTTCCCCTCTCGCTTATTTTCCATAGGTCTCACAATGCTGCCCTCACTGGCCTTCAACTGGGAGATCTCCTACCTCAGCCTCCCCAGTGACAAACTAACTTTTAATTGCAATAAGGTCCTGGCCTGTTAGCCTCACAATAGCTGACATTTCAAAACTTGGACCACTGCTGGTGAATTAATAAAAGAACAAGTATATAAAAGATGAAAGGGCTGAACAAATAGTGTAAATCATATCAGTGTCATAGGTTTTGCTTTAGACTGTTTATGTTGAGAAGTTTATCCTCTCTGATCAAGTCAAACTGAAGTGTATTTCACAAGTATAAACTTAAAACAGTATAGTTACTGAGCATCTCAGGAGAGATCAGCCGTGTCCACTCTTCATGTAGCTTGTAGCAGATGTAAACCACCTTCTTTGCTAAGCTGAAAGAACCTTTGATTTTGACGTCTTGACAACCCTCATTAGATGAGACGTGCACTGTAGTCATGTTTGTTTAGTTACATTTGAACAAAGTCATCATTCCAGCAGCTCCCTGGCAAAGCACGGTATTTAGAGAGGAGTTGAAAGTCAGGCCTGTTGATCAAATGCTGACCTCCTAAAGTTTTTCCCACA